GCACTAGATAACTAAGACACTGTATGATCTCACTTACATGAACAAACAAATATATGGAAACCAAAGATTATTAGTGGTTATCAGAGGTGGCAGGGAGGGGAAAAGGGGGAACTTTTGCTTAGGGGGCATAGAGTTTATGTTAATGGAATAATTTTGAAAAGGATAGCGATAATGAATGCACAACATGAATGTAATCAATGTCACTGAATTATACATGTAGACATTACTGAATCAGTGAGTGTTTTGTTGTGCGTATTTCACCACAAAAACAAAACAAATTCATGGTGATAGATGCACATCATAGTGAATATCATTAAGGTCACTGAATTGTATACATAAAAATGGTTGAAATGGAAAATGTTTGGTTGTATATATTTTACCACAATAATAAAACAAACAAAAAAAATCCAAACACTGACCATTACTTACAAAGATCTTCATGATTCAGTTCTACTTGCCTGTCTAAACTCACTTTGCACCAGTGCTCTTTCTGCTTCCTTAATCACTTCCCTCCAAGCCTCCCTGGCCTGCTTTTTGTCCCATTAAAACACCAAGCCTCTAGGCCTTTGCATTTGCTGTTTCCTGGTCATTATGAGTCAGAATCGACTTGACAGCAATGGGTTTGGTCTTTTTTTGTTTCGTTTTGTTTTTGCTTGGAACATTCAGAGTAGACTTCCCTGGTCACAATGACTAAAAAAAAAAATCCCATTGAGTCGATTCTGACTCATAGCAACCCCATGTGTGTCAGAATAGAACTGTGTTCCATAGGATTTTCAATGGCTGATTTTTTGGAAGTAGATCACCAGGCATTTCTTCTGAAGCACGTCTGGGTGGACTCAAACCTCCAACTTTTCAGTTAGCAGCTGAGTGTGTCAATCGTTTGCACCACCCAGGGACTAACTAAAAGAGCTCCCTAATTACTCACTATCCCATTACCCTGCATTATTTCCTTAAATAGCACTTGCTACTATCTGAAATTATTTATTTTATGTCTTCCCCACTTAAAAAGTAACCTCCAAGGAAACTGAGACATTGCCCAACCTATTTGCTGCTGTATCCCCCAGGCTTGGCACAAGGTGTTTACACCCAGTAGGTGACGAGTAAATACTCATTATGCAAATCAATGAATTCCTGCCTTTATTGATGCTTCTCTTGCTTGGACTGTTGCCCTCTTCCTTGGCTTCTGAAAAATCTAGAAAAGTAAAAAAGAGCTGCCTTTCTAATTTCCCCTGTTTTGTTTGTTTTTTATTCTACTTTCCTGCTTATCCATGTTCTATCCAGCCTTAAATTCTCTTGCAACTGGGAAATTTTTCTTGATTAATCTGTTAGGAAGGGTGGAAGGAGAAATGGGAATATTCTATAATCTACCTGTCCAGGTAGAGCATTTGGATACAGGGCCATAGTTTCTAACCCAAATCAAGATGCATTGTCTGACACTTTCCACTTTCAGGGGTAAGGAGTAGACTGGAAGATGACATTTACATGTGATAGAGTTTCTTTATAAGGAGAAATGGAAGAAAATACTGCAATGGAAACTTTCTCAGAAAATCCAGGATATAAGGTTTAATATAAAGATATTTTCCTCTATTACACAACAAGCTCAGAGGTAAGAGATAAAGGTGAGAAAACAAAACGTCATCGCCTGTTCGGACAGACACTGGAAGTTGTAAATCATCTAAAATCAGAGCCTTTGAACAATTGCTGTATTGCATTTCTGACCCTCTTAGGAATGCAGGTGGCCACAAGAGGAACTGCCACTTAGCTCAATTCTGACCATCAAGAGACGTGGGAGTGGCAGAAATCTTGGGTTAATCCAACATGCTCCCATCTCCTCCCCTGGGTCCCACACAGGGCATTTCCCAACCTCAGGGCTGCCCTTTCTCTCCTTTCTTCCCTCTGCTGATCTCTCTACCTTCCCTTCCTACAGCACCCTGTCCCTGACCAACCCCACCTCCTCTCTGTAAGGAACTTGCTCTCTAAGGGTCATGTTCATTTTTAGACTCTCTCTGAGTCCTGGGTATGTGTCTGATTTCCCTCCAGTAAATCCCCACAGGAGGGAGACCTAGGTTCTCTTCTCCTTGGCCTCGCCCAGAGGCAGGCAGGGCTTTGGACATGGGGATATGCCCCTGTTTGGGGTAGTAGACCAACGGGACCAGGGGGCCAATTTTCAGAAGTTAATGGAGTGTGTCAGACGAGGACCAAACTCTGACTGCTGACCTAGCCCTTCATGAGCGGAGTGCTTGGCCTAGTTCTGACTCTGAGGTGGGAAAGACAAAGTTCCCCAGCCTGGCACTGGGCCTCCTCTCCTGCTGTATCAAATGCCCATGTATTCATGGTCATAGAGCTGCTGCTGGGTGCCCGGGTAGGAGGACAGAGAGCATGGACATCGTATTTCAGCGGAGACACAGCTCTTGTTCGTGTGTGTGCAATGGCAGCCCGTCAATCTGATCAAACGGTCAAATGTGTGGGAAATTTTATCCCACTGTGGACTGCAGAGATTTCTGACTATGGGTCTGAGGCTTTTTTTCCCCCGTTTCCTACTGAACTGAACATTGCTTAAAGTATCTGAAGGCCCTCAAGGTAGAGTTGTTTATCCTAGGGTCCACCAACTCCCTGAAATTACATACAAAAATTTACATGTGTGTAGACCACTGCGGGCAACTACATACTATAGCAGGGAAAGGGGCGTAGCTCTTCACAGTTTCTCAAAGGAAGCCAGGATCCAGAAAAATAAGAATGGCTAGCTTAGGTTTTTCAGGCAGTTGATTCGGAGACGCTGGGATTGGCCTTAAGAAAAATTCCAAGGCAACAGGGAGAGATGGCTGGAGAGAATGAGAGCATGTGTCTGGTGGCCCCAAGGAGCAGGCACTTTGGAGGGGCTGCTGGGGCTGTTGCAAATTCCACCCCACTGGGCACAGGAGACTGCCCTATAGATGCTTCCCATGCCAGCCTGGCACCATGTCACTTGTCTAGCCTGGTCAGAGGAGTTGCCTAACTGGGCACTTGTACCTTATAAACTCACTAAATTCTGAGTGACAAGTTAAAACAGCTTAGAACTTCCACCAGATGTGATTTAGGGAGAAGAGCTTCTGGGGGATAGTGGCACAGGGCTGGAGGGAGAAGGGCCATGAGAGAGTCCAGTTTGAGAGGAAGGGTGGCTGGTACGCATTTCATGTAACCATTCCATTGCTATGGAGATTACTCAGATTGCAAGCCCCTCTTATCTATGTCAAACTTTGCCCTTCCCTTCCAGAAGCCTAATCTATATGCTCCACCAGACTGTTCTCACTGCACCCATGATATGTGCTTATTGTGCTTTGTTAGTGTTGCTAAGTGTCTGCCCACCCTGGGAAAATGTGAGCTCCCTAAAGAAATAGACTGTACAGTGCCCACACTCAGCCCTCCTTCCACGGCCTTCCCAAGCCCTAGTCCTCTTTTTAGCATCACCCCTAACCTGGAGGGCAGGAGGGAAGCCAGGGAAGCTAAGGAGACAGCAGCAGCCCTCTACTGGGGTGGCCCAAGGGCATAAGATGAGAAGCTTGGAGTCAGTTCCTGCTCTTGATATGGGAGCTTGGGCACAGAGGGCCAATCTGGGAGAGGCCCAGATATCATGTGCCATCTGGGAAGAGGGCTCAGCTCTGGGAGAATCCCAGTATAATGATGCATCAGTACCACAGCCACCTTCCTAGATCTGGCCCCATCACTCCACTCTCAAGTGATTTTAAGAACTTGCTCATGGAACTCTGGGACCTCCGTCTCTCTTTCTGCCAATTACCATGCCCACTCTACTCCCAAAGCTACCGTCATTCTGAAACACATCACTCTCTAGCTTAAACATTGCCAATGACTCCTCTTTCTTCCGAAATACTTCTAGCATGGCATGAATGCTGATTCAGTACCTTTTTAGTCTTGTTTTCTGCAACAAACCTAAGCTTCAGCCAAACCAGGTCTCCCAAAGTTCCATACATACATTCATGTTTCTAGGACTCTGCTTATGTGGTTCTGTCTTCTGGGAACGCCCTTCATATCCTCTTCTCTCCATAGACAATCACACTCATCCTTTAAGACCCAGATCCAATCTGGCCTCCACTGTGAGGCCCCCCAGCCATGCCAGGAAGAAATAATGCCCCCTGGCTCTGCCCTCCCATCACCCATTGTTCACATACAATGAATAAAATGAAACTAATGCTTATGGAGCTCTTACTCAATGCCAAGTACTCTGTGGCACATGAATTATCTCATTCATCATGTATCCTAGATCCCTCACCCACCATGTGAGGGAATCAACTGTCCTTATTTTTAGGAGACTTGAGGTTCAGAGAGGCTAAGCATCAGAGACGTAGGAAGAGTCAGAGCTGGGATTTGAATCCCTGGGTGTCAGACTCCTGAGTCCATGGCCTTTTCTGTCTGTTAGTGGTTGGTGTTGTAAGTGGCCGCCTGTCCTGTGAGGGTTGATAGTCTTTTCAGGTCAGGACCTGCCTCATTTGTCATGGTGTCCCCCGGTCCTAGGTCAGTGTCAGGTACAGGGCAGGTGCTCAGTGGATGTTTATGGAATTGCCTTGAAGCCTGCGAAGTTTGGTGAGCAACCTCATTTACCTATTAACAACCATAGCAAACAGGGCTTCAGAGGTGGAATCTTCAAGAGCAGAAGAGTAGTTTGCAGGTGATACAGAAGGGAAGACCCCCACCCCCCACCTTGACCTCTATTAGCATTTCTGAATTGGGGTTGGGCTTAGCAGTCTTAAGGGAGTCCTGGAAGCCAGAACTGCAAAGCTCTTGGGGATCTATGGGTGGAGTGTGAATGAAGTCCAAGCTTTAGGAATGTGGCCTATCTACCCTCTGTACCCCCTGCCTTCTTCCTGTCCCCAGCCTTTATGATGAGCTGTGATGCCAGGCAACAGGCCACGAGGTGGTGCCTGCTCCCTTGAGAGGCCCTGTCCTCCTTCCCAGGGTTCCCTTGGGAGACCCTGGTTCCCTCCTCAGGGCCCCTCTAGCCTCACCTTCAGTGCTGGCATCATCCACCAGTATGATCTCCTTCAGGAAGATGGCAGGGGCAGTGTGTAGGACACTGTACACCGTTCGCAGCAGCGTGGACCAGGCCTCATTGTGGAACACAATGATGACACTGGTGGTGGGCAGTCGGGGGCAGCGTCGGAACTTCTGATCCAAACACCTAGGGGGATGAAAGTGTGGACACAGCTCTCTAGGTCCCTCGGAGTTCCTTGGGAGGTGGAGAAGGCTCTGTCCAAAGGCTCCCCATAACCATCCTCTGCTCCTCTGAACCATCAGCCACATTTCCTGTTGCAGTCCGGAATTCCTGCTCCCTGCCCCAGGCCCAAGTTCCCTGGGTGGTGTAGTTAATACACTCAGCTGCTAACCAAAAGGCTGAAAGTTTGAGTCCATCAGAGGAACCTTGGAAGAAAGGTCAGAAGGTCTACTTCTGAAAAAATCAGCCATTGATTTTTATGGAGCTCAGTTCTACTCTGACACATGTGGGGTTCCCATGAGTTGGAATTCACTCCACAGCAACTAGTTTAACTGGTCCCTGGCTCAGTCTATATTTGCCATCTACTCTGAGCCTCCATTGGAAACCCTGGTGGTGTAGCAGCTAAGAGGTATGGCTGCTAATCGAAAGGTTGCCAGTTCAAATCCACCAGCGCTCCTTGGAAACTGTATGGGGCAGTTCTACTCTGTCCTATAGGGTCGCTATGAGTCGGAATCGACTCGACAGCAATGGGTTTCTGAGCCTCCACACTGGACCTAGCCAACTCACTCTAAAACCCATCTCCCCAGAACGGGCTCAGCCCCCTAGCTGTGATTCTGAGGGCTCACTTCTGTCTGCTCTCTCCTGGAAGTTCCCAGGGCTGACTCTCTCTTCTTCAGTAATATATGTGCTGCATAAAGTGAAATACAATCCAGAAGTCCCAGAGGGGTAAGTGATAATGGAAAAATTAACATCTGAGAAAAGTGACTAAAATTTCCATATTCTATGAGAGGAAAAGGCTCCTCTCTTTACAATGTACAGTTCCTCTCTAATCCATTTCCTCATTAAGTCCCTGTAATCTGATACTGTTATCACAGTCAGTTTCCTGTGACCTTTCTCTACCCTTATCCACTCCAACCCCTGCGTGGTACTTGGCCACATTGCCCCTTCTTGACACTGCATTTTGGGGTTAGGGGATAGGAGTGTGTGAATCCTGGATCTCAAGGAATTATCTGGCTGAACATACCCTTTCTTAACCCCCTCTGCCTGCTGGTTAGAGAGATTTCTCATGGAACCTTCTGAGGAGACTCCTAAACGTCCTCCACTGGCTGCCCTCACTCCCAAAGCCCTTCTCTGCTGAGGAGTTCCTGACACCTAACTCCAATGGTTCCTTCTTCTAGGGCTATAGTACTTGGTCCAAATCTGAGCTCCTCTGCATTCATCGCCCAAAAGAATCATGAATTTGGGGATGGGGGCTGCCATGTGAGAAAAGGCCAGAAGGGGTATAACTCTTATAGCAGGAGGACAAAGGCTAAATGAGGAAGACACAAAGTCTCTAACTTAAGGACAGTGTGACCACAGCCATGGCTGCATTAGAGTGAGGTGGCTGCAGCTCAAAGATCTAAGCACTGGTTTTGTTGCTCAATATGGAAAAGATAAGCAAATTAAAATAAAGATTGGAATGAATTCATGGTCCCGTGGGACTTCACTGAAGGAAGCTAGGAGCTGTGGGCATGTTCCTGACCACCAGGGCTGCTGTTGGGAAATGACCTCTACCCCAGCTGCCCAGCACTAGAGTCCCACAGTCTCTGGGGCAGACCTCAGTGATTGCAAGGTCACCAAAACCACAGCCTGGAGTCTGTCTTTCCCAGTTGCCTCTGTACCAGGTCCTGGTCCCAGGCTCTGAGTTCCTTCTTCTCTAACCCATCACCTTCATAATTGTGCTTCACTCCTGCTGGTCTCCCTGAGCCTCCAGCCTCACTGTAATACTCCTGAACCCCAACCCCAGGGATCAGGGCAATTGGTCAGGGGAACAAGTGAGGGCTTAGAGGAAATCCTCACCCATATTCTAAAATCCCTTTCAATTTAGTTCTTTACTTGGCATTTGGCCCTTGTCTATGGTCACACAAAGGAGCCTCTGGGTGGCACAAACGGTTAAGCACTCAGCTAATAACCAAAAGGTTGGCAGTTCAAATCTACTCAGAGACACTTTGGAAGAAAGGCCTGGCAATCTACTTCAGAAAGTTCACAGCCATTGAAAACCATATGGAGCACAGTTCTACTCTGACATACTAGGGTTGCCAGAAGTTGGAAATGACTTGATGGCAACTGTTTTTGTTTTTTTTTTTGGTGGGGGGTGGGCAGTTATGGTCACACCAGTCACACCGTTGGCAGAGCCCTGGCCTCCTCCCAGGATTTTGGTGCTACTTACTCAGGGGGTCGAGTGTCTGGCCCCAGCGCCCTCTGCAGGGAAATCTGGTCACTGGCAAAGGCATTGAAGCAGTGCTTTTTATAGCCCTCTTCTTTTTCTTGGGTCTCTTGAGGGGTCCACTCGCTCTTCTGAAATGCTTTTCCGTCTGCCCCAGGACTGTTGGGGTCCTGTGGTGGCCGTTCCCAGAAGGGCTTCAGCTCAGCTAGGGTATAGAACCCAGGGAGGCAGGACTGGTTTGTGGACACCATGGTCTCCTGGGGTTCTGGAGCCTTGATCTGGAGTTTGGGCATCGAATCTCTAAGGTTGTTCACAGCCCCCAGCATGAGGTCCAGGACGTGATCCTTCTGGTTCACCAGGGACTTCAGCCATGGTTTCTCCGTGACCTGCTCCCTATTGCTCATGTCCCTTTGCAGGATGAAGAGGAAGAGCACAAAGGCACTGCCCACCATGGCGAGGCGCAGGGGCATGTGGCGTCTGCGGAGGAGCCTCATCCTCTGGAATCAGTGAGGCCCAGGTGCGTCAGCTCCAAGTGCTGGGCCCACCCTGGAAATAGCTCTGTATGTCGTGGTGACCACACTTTGGGACCTTAGTCTGAAAAGGGAGGAGAAGAGAGAGATAAATGAGCTAGGAGAAGGCTGGGGAGGGAGTCAGGGGCTTGAAGTTCGAGTCCAGGCTCTGTTGTTAAATGGTGGCATCCCCTTAGCCCAGCCACTTAACTTCCCTGTGCCAAAATTCCCTTCATCCATCAAATGAGGCGACCGGACTCAGTGTTTCTTTCCTGCACTGAGATCTTGAGATTCATGGATCCAGAGAAACCAGAATACTGAAATACTACATGAGAGATTTAAGTCAACATAACCACTTTGGGAAACAATTTGGCATTATCAAGTAAAACTTAAAATGTACATACTCTATGACCTAGCAATTCTACTCCTAGTTTTATATCCCAGATAAACTCTTGCACATGTGAACCAGGAGGCATGTACAAGAATGTTCATAACAGGACTTCCGGCAAGATGGCGCTCTAGACAGAAACACCACGCCGTCCCTCCACAACAAAGATCCGAAAA